GGGTTATCAGATGCCGGATCCTAGCGTGATGAAATAGGGTTGTGAATGTAAACATGCACTACTGCTTTCTTAAGGCAAGCCAGTGTTAGTGGGCAGTAACCGCTGAATATCTTTTATAGCAAATAATCCTCAAGTCAATAAAACTTTTTTTGAATTTCTCCAATGCTTCTTTACGAGAAAAAAGGGTTGAATTTTATTGACTTTTTAAACGATCAACATAATTCAGCTCTATAATAGAAGGAGTGAAAAAATAGATTAAACTAGAAAAGCTCTACGAGGTCCTAGAAATGGGTTAGGATAGAATATCAGGTTATAGAAGAGGCGGTTGGAAGGAAGCCCCGTACCGTAGTCCGCCGACGCGTTGAACAACCTTGGCACGTTGTTTTATTGGCGCGGAAAGCATTCGAAAGATACCGTAGTCGCGTTATTCATCGCAAGAAAAGCAACTGAACGCAGGATGAGGCCAAACGATGCTACGAGCGATCGATCCATTGCACAAAATATAGTTTACTGGATTTTTTATCGTGTAAAATAGGGAATACAGCGACTGGAATGACGATACCTGCAGAGCTCACCATTTCACATTTGCAGGAGGCAAATTGACAAAGGACTCGCTTGTGACCTCTAAGAGGGACTCGGAACCCGTGCTGTCGGCATCGAGCACATTGAGGGTCACGAACCCGTCGTCCATTCACCGTTTCCCTTGGCGACTCGGCCAGCTGGAATGAGCTCATTTCACCTGAAACGCTGGGGATACAACTTAAAACCTGCCTTAGACTTGCTTAGCATGTTGTTCAGCTGCCGACGCTGTTCAACCATGATGCAGTCACTGCACGTGCAATTTGCATATCTAGAAGACAACATTCATCATGGTTCATCTCACTCGTTTTGACTTTGGGGTAGAACTCACTCACTTGCAAACAGGTTTGTGACCTTTTCTTGGAAACTGTAGGTCGTGGTTTAAACATCGCTGACAGAAGTACTTTTTCTCGTTCTGATTACTGTTGTACGACTTTTGAGATGGCGCAGGTGAGAGAGCAACGACATCAATTTCGGTTTCTGAATAAAATAGGAAGCTATCAATGAATTATTATCAACATAGTAATAAATAAGTCAATTGGATACTTTAACATTTAAGAAATCTCGCTACAAATTGTAACAATTTGCAACACTTTTTTCCCGATAACACCATGCACCGCAAACCGAACGATTTGCGAATCACGCGCTGTCTAAAGTCAAAATCGCGTATTCAAGCTATTTGTGGTTCTAGTCCTGCTTTTTTATAGACGTAATTCACCATTCTCTTTGAGCTTTAAAATATGGTACCATTTTAAAAAAAACACTGATTTTTTAGAGTGACGATTGTAGGACACAATGCGCAAACACAACCGCTAGGAAGGATTATGATATTATAGAGTTTTTCAACAAAAGGGCATTGCACCAACTTTAAGAAGCTATAATTGGAAAATGGCGGGATAAAAGTGAAAGAGGCTAACAGAAGCAACTCGGGGAACTCCCCTCTGACGCATAGGCGAGCAAAGAGCAAAGACACGTGAGGACAACTGCCCTTTTCTGCAACATTCCGAGCATTCGGAGTTCAGCAAGAAATATTGCTTGTGTGTTGCAGAATCGCCAAAAATTCAAAAAAGGATAGTGTTAGCGAAGTGGTCTGCAGTGCTGCAATGATGAAATTCCCTATGGGAGGTGATCTGGCAAACTCGACGTGGGAGGTCGTTAATGGCTCTTGCCAGCGATAGCTGTTCAGTCACCAGTTTCATAGTTGGCAATAGGGAAGAGTTCTAATTTGAAGAATTCCAGTGGAGCTTGAATAACTTTTCCTAGAGATATTGATATTAAAAACGTAGAATAGACGATAACTCTTTAAATAAGATTCGAATATCCCACTAACAAGACACTAGCGAGCAAAAGCTAATAAACTTTTTGTTTGGATCTATACTGCTGAGATTTAGGTCTTTAAACTATAGCTTTCTAAAGGTCTCTTCTTTTACCATAGTTTGTAAGATTATGGCACCTGCAAATATGCTGATAAACACCAAACAAATAGTTGATAGTTCCATTGCAAAAATCGCACACTGCAGAGCAGGTTACGTGATTTTTCGGGGGGCCAGAAAGTGGCTCGCAATCTTGCAACCTAACATCATCTGCGAATTGACCTTGGGATAAACATGATAAGCAGCGATAATAATTTCTTTTATGACGTTTCTAAGATACTTCTTATTCTGCAGAATTAATGTTAACTTAAAAAGTTTTTGGAGGTTACTGGAACACCTGAATCTTTTCTGTTTTTTTCGCATAGATGTTGCAATTATATGCAATTTGGTGAATCAGTTAAAAATAGAAATTGAATGGCTATTTTTGGAAATACTTTAGGATTTTTTTCATAGGAGTGGGCGGTCAGTTTCAGTATTGTTCCCTCATCACTAGCCTAGCAAAAATTGCGATGCAGCAGAAGAAGTTGAGGTACATACTGTAGAGATGGAATTTTCTAACTACTAGTCTTCCTACAACAATTTTCCGCAGAAAATTCTTCTGGCACGTCTGTCACTCTTTTCAGATTACGATGATCTAAAAGTCTACACTGGCTTAGCAAAATCTCTTAAGCTAGCATTTGCAATTTCACGCATCTGTAAACCTGAGACGATTTAGGGATATTTAGATAAAGTTCGAAATCCTTTTTACGAGGGGTCCGGATTCATGAACGATTAGCCCACCTGGATGAACATTTTGGATCTGCCATAGGTCACTATAAACCCATAAAATTGACCCATTTTTGTCACAACGGACCCCATCACTGACTCAACGGACTTGTCATGAATCCGACACTCCCATGATGAGGTGAAGGGGTCGTGCTTACCTTCGTGCATGGTGAAGAGCTCGCAACATGAACACTGCTAGCGCGCGTTTTCGCTGCGCCGACGCTCCGCCTCTGTTCAGACCACACACGACGAAAAAAGGTAGAGGACGCGATCGCCGGCGAGCGAATGACACTCGACGCCCCTCGCGACCCCCCAATTCGCAACAAAGTGCATCGCATTCTCGCAACAAACGCCGGTCCTGACTTGTCACCGTCGTTTCCTTGCATTTCTTGCAGTCATGGGATACTTCAAGGGACACGTCGCATCTAAGTGAGCGGTAACCTATCCTTTAAACCAAAAACGCCGTTGGCTGATCGAATAAACTGCCTCGCATGAAACACTTCCACCTGTGCTTAAACGATTCGAACCTCCAGACTAACTCTAAGGTGATCTTCAATTATATCTTCTATAGTCGGCCTACTGCAGTGTTAGTCTAAAGCAATCATGCTTTAGGAGGGCGAAGCACTAGCATCATCAATTCTCTCAATTTTAGCCCCCGCGGCATATTCAGGTCCAAAAATCAAGAGCCCACGTTACTTTTGCACTCAACGATCGTCATTTGTAGCATGTCGCTTTCGGTCTGGTTTGTGTATCAGACACATCGACAGAGTATGTCGTTAGCGGAGACGTAGGGTCAACTGAGAGACTACCAGTTCAATGTAGAATTAGAGGTGTGGTTGTCGAAGTAGTGTGCGAATGTGAGAGGTGCAAAACGAACAGATTCGGGAAAAAGCGCTGAAAAAACCACGGTCTGCTGTCTGCAGAGACCACCAACGAAGAAAACGCGCTGGCTGTTTTGATTGCGCCCAACGGACGCGAAAAAGGGAAGAGAAGAGCAATGAAGCAAAAAAAAAA